GAAGGAGCAATCCATGCGCATGACTTCCGCTGCAATGTGAACTCCTCCTTCACCCCTCGCACCTTCCTCTGTCCTCCTTCCTCCCTCCCTCCTCCTTCCACTCCTTCGTTCCTGTTGCCTCCCTGCTCCTCCTTGCTCCCTCCCTCCCTTCTCCCTCCTCCATCTTGCTTCTCCTCCTCCTGCTCCTCCTGCTCCTCCTGCTCCTCCTGCTCCCCCTTTCTTCCCTTCTATCCTACACACGCCTGCTAGTCTCCTGCTGCTCTTCCTCTTGCTCCTCTGGTTTCCTTTGTCTCAACCTCCGGCAGGATCGCGCCTGGAGCATCGAAATCCCTCCGAGGAGAGGCGTCCCGGTGAGAGACGAGGAGGAAGTGGAAGGGGAGAAACACAGACAGTGTCTGTAGGAGGCAGATCAGCCGTCAGAGTGGACGAGGTAGAAGGAAGAATGGCACAGCAAAAGAGATGGAGGAGGAGAAAGAAGAGGAGGAGAAGGAGGACGAGGGGGAGAGGGAGAGCGGGGACGAGGAGGACGAGGATCCTGAGGTGTTTCAGGTGTGCATGAGTCTCGGCAACGACAGCAACTGGTTTGTGGTTGGAACGTCTAGAGGGTGAGAAGAATGATTCTCGGTCCCCCAACCCCACCCTCCCTCTACTTCCTTTCTCTACTTCAACTCTCCCCCTCCTCCCGATTCCTCCTCCTCCCTCTCCTCCCCTCTACTTCCTGTCTCTTCGTCCTTCCATCCCCTCTACTTCCTGTCACTCAACTCCCTGGCTCTACCCCCTTGCTCTCCTCCTGCTGACTTCTCTCAGCTACCTCCTCGTGTACGACATGCGATTCCAGCTGGACGTGCAGTGGTGGAGACATCCGTGTCAGGTTCTCTCCTCTCTTCCCCCAACCTCTCCTCTCCTCTCCTCTCCTCCCCCCACCTCTCCTCTCCTCTCCTCTCCTCTCCTCCCCCCACCTCTCCTCTCCTCTCCTCTCTCCTCTCCTCTTGCAGCCCCTACAGCTTTCTTTGTTATCCTGCTCATGCCATTTCAGGGAGAGATCCACACGGTCGCGCAGTACCAGAAGCTGAATGCAGCCTGGGTTGGAGGAGGAGGAGGAGGAGGAGGAGGAGGAGGAGGAGGAGAAAGAGGAGGAGGAGGAGAAGAAGCAGGAGGAGGAGGAGGAGGAGGAGGCGAGGTTTATATTCACTCTTGTGACGCAGAGCTCTGGTGGTCCCCACATCGTCTCAGCTGGAGGGAGGAACCAGGTAAAGTCCATCTGGCAGTCCACCCCAAGTGACGAAGGAGTCAGATGTCAATCTGGGACGTCAGCAGAGCGACTTGTGTCACGCACTTGTCAGCGACGTTGAGAGGATACCTCTCAGATATGAGCAACGTGACATGTAGGATGGGGCTACAGGTGACATCTTCCTTTGTCTCCCACCTTCCTCCCTCCTCGAACTCATGCTTTATCCTCCTCATGATTCTCCTCCTCCTCCTCCCCTTAACCTCTTCCTCCCCGTGTGTCATGTAGCGACTTGGCTCCCACCTGATCCTCCTCGTCCTCGTCCTCGTCCTCGTTCTCCTCATCCTCCTCCTCGTCCTCGTCCTCCTCCTGCTCCTCGTCCTCGTCCTCGTCCTCCTCGTCCTCGTCCTCCTCCTGCTTCTCCTCCTGTTCCTCCTCCTCATCCCTCTCTTGGCTGATTCTCTTCACCAGGGTTCGGAACCCAGCGATGACTTCGGTCTGCGGGAACTTGACGATCTCTCGCTACCAGAAGAGGTTCAACTTGCGCCCTCCCCCCTCTGCTGCCTTCTCATCCCTTGTTTCCTCTTCCTCCACTTCTCCTCTTCCTCCTTCCTCCTCCTCCTCCTTCTTGTCCTCGTCCTCGTCGTCTTGGTCCTCGTCCTCGTGCATTCTCTGATCCGAGCGCTGCCCTGCCTTGGCTTCCTTGAGGCTGTCGCTGACTGCCGTGAAGGGCGTGCGAGCTGTGCTGTCCTCCCCTGATGGATCCTACTTGCTGTCTGGAGGGTGCGTTGAAGTGCGGAAGGGGAGAGGGGAGAGGAGGGAAAGAGGAGAGGCCAGGGAGGGAGGAGAGAGGAGGGAATGAAGAGGGGGAGAGAGGAGGTTGAGGGGAGGGGAAGGGGAGGCAGGGGCAACGCGGGAGGGGGGGAGGGGGAGGGGAGGAGGTGGCTGAGGTCCAAGTTCAAGGGTGGGATAGGAAGAATTCGTCTGTGGGATCTGCTTGCGTCCCGGATCGCTCCTTCAG